AAAAAAAAAAAATTAGCCAAGCGTGGTGGTGCATGCCTGTAATCCCAGCTACTTGGGAGGCTGAAGCAGGAGAATATCTTGAACCCAGGAGGCAGAGGTTGCAATAAGCCAAGATCGCGACATTACATTCCAGCCTTGGCAACAAGAGTGAAACTCTCCATCTCAAAAAATAAAAAAAATAATAAAACAAAACTCAAGAAGTAAACAAAAGATTCTGGCTTTTAACATAAGAGAACAGGAGGGATACATTTAAGGTGTATATAAGTGTCCAGGATAATGAGCATAAGAAACTTAGTTTGTAACAGAACTATCAACTTAAAGAGTCAAGGCTGGATAGGCTGCAAAAGAAAACCATGACTATCATATCCTTAAAATTCCATTAAAACTCAAGAGAGCTGAGCTCTCTTTATACTTAAAAAATTTATTTTTAGTTTATTTACTGAATGCTTCCAGAGACCTGGAAGAAATTCTGCAGTAGGCTTGGTGGGAGATTAAATCCTATTCTATGGAAATAAACTTTAAAATTCAGCAGAACTGAGCAACAAGCTACATGATGGTATAGGATGACCATCTAATCTTTGGCACATTAACTGATCTCTCCTTACAAACAATACAGAGACATGCACCAAGGTTTTATAGAGGAATGCATACAGGCGTATAAATAGGCCATCATACCGTATATGCTTTGAAGTTCACATCACTGCTTACATAGATTGTGAATGTCTTCTTAGAAAAAATTCTTAGGGCTGGACATAGTGGCTCACACCTCTAATCCTAGCACTTTGGGAGGCTAAAGTGAGAGGGTCACTGGAACCCAGGAACTCAACACTGGCCTGGGAAACATAAGGAGACCTCATCTCTACAAAAAATAGAAAACTTAGCCAGGTGTGGTGATTAGCATCTGTAGTCCTAGCTATCAGGAGCCTAAGGCGGGATGATGGCTTGAGCCAGGGAAGTTGAGGCTGCAGTGAATTGTGATCACGCCACTGCACACCATCCTGGGTAACAGAGGGAGACCTCATTTCAAAATTTTTAAAAAAGCAGAAGTTCTTAGAATTTAGATTGGAGAAACCAATCATATAACTTTAGGAAATGGCTGGGAATTCAACATTATCCTATAATTTTCCACTAGAAAAACCATCTAAGGATGATGATGTTCATTTCCCTCTTAAGCACCAAGGGCAGAGAGCAATGCCCCCAGCTGTAAGGAAACGAGTTGCTCACTGAGGCTTTCAGAGCTCACTCTTTTCCTGAGTATTTAGGCTGGGCAAACATTTAGAATTGGAATCAGGATAAACTAAGCTGTGTATGAGTCAGTCTACAGGGGAGGCACAGCCTCTATCTGAAAGCAAAATGCTTGTTGGCACAATTCTAAAAGTACAATTGAGGCATTAAATGCCTACACCATTTTAAATGCTGAGTATTATTTATTCTGACCAACAAAGACCACAAAAAAGCTAAACGCAGACAAAAAGATTAGACATTTTCGACTCCTAAACCTGGGGCACTGGTTACATTGTTTACTTCGTGTCACTTATACAAAATTAAGTTTTACTTTTCTGTATTTTTTGTTGTTGTTGTTTTTAGGAAAAAAGCCTGCAACACTCGGTATTTCCAGGCAGTGACAAGTTTTACTTTTAATCACAACTAAGGAGGTATCTACACAAATTGTATAAAAAAAGTTAACATTATAAATTTATTTAAAGTATCATGTGCAATTACTTATAGTTTGAAACTGTTACAAAAAAACTATAGTTAAGGCAGAAAATGCCACTATACTGACAAGTAGCCTGAAGTTTGGTGCCCTCTTATTTTCAGTATGTGGAAAAGACCAATGAAAAGCAAATCACTTTTAGTAAATCTTAACCTGGAATTACCGGGTTATTATAAAATATACAAGAAATATTTTTTTTTTAATGAAAAGGACTTTTTTTTTCTTTCCTAAGTTATTTCTCCGAGAACTTGTAAAGAAAATAAACAAACGAAAAGCACTGTTTTCGCTGTATCTTTACTCAAGGCTAGTTGTTGATAGCAAACAATTGGTGATTGTTTTGAGACACCCACTCTTTTTAACTACAAAGACACTTGACCTTAACTTAAAATACAAAATGAAACCGATCCCCACTATTCCTAAGTCTGATAATTTGAACCTATAAAGTGGTATAATAAAAAGCCCCCAACTCGTTACTCAACAAATATTTTTGGATAAACGATTTTGGCAAAGCACCCCTGCCCAAGGAAGTCAGACCCAAAACTTTAAAAATCCTACAGAACATTCTAACTTGAGTTCAGGCTCCATACAGTACCTCACTGACCGAAATGGTTTTGCCTGTTTAGTTTCCAAGGGCCAAGTCTGCCCGGCTCTGGATGATATGGACCCCCCTGGAGCGACAAGGCGCTCGCGCCTCTGCTCGTCGTTCTGGGCCGAGCTCTGCCCAGAATGACGGGCAAAGGCAGGGCCATGGGCGACGTGAGGGCCTGTCTCGAACTCACCGTGAAGCGCTGGTCGCCAATGCTGCCCACGGAGAAACAGTGGTCGCCAGGGTTCACAGCCCCGGTTAGCACCTGGTGCAAATTCATGTCGGCGCCCTAGTCCTGCAACGGACACCGCGTCCAGCTCATGCCCCGGGTCAGCGGCCGCTTCCCTCCCTCCTTCCCTCAGGGGCGGCGGCCGCTGTTTGGCTGCCACCGCAGAAGCAACGACAGGCGCCCGGAGCTGGAGCAGCTCAGCTGGGGCCCGCGGTTCATCCCGAGCCCAGGAGGGCGAGGCCCGGAGGGGGCGGGTCGGCGAGCGGGCGGAGCACGGCGCTCCTCGGCGCACCTGTCACTGACCGCGGCGGCCCAGGTGAAGACCGGGGTCCCCTCACCGGCCACGACCCGGGGCCGACTCACCGGCCAGGAAGGCCACGCTGTCTACACACTTCCTCTGGGCCTCAGGCAGCCGCTCCTGACCTAGCCCAAGTGGCGCAGGCAGCACGCGCTCGCACTCCCCGCCTGACCTGCCCCTTCCCGGCTCCGGTGCCCGCCACCCCCACAGTCCTCTGCCGCTCACTACGCGTCTACTGGAGCCCTTAGGCGGAAATATCGCGAGACTTCGCTTGGCGAAGCTGGTAGTGTGGTAAAGGATTCACTTTTTTACCGCAGCATACATATCAGCAAGTAAATATAAAAACGCCTCTTCTAGTTAGAAACTGACCAATCCCGACCCCCGGTCCACCTAGGGCTCCGCCCACCACCGAGGACAAGCCAATCTCTTTGAGGCTTGTGCAGGAGAACGCCGTGCGTTTGAGCTTGAACATGATAAGCCTGGTAGAAGCCTGATGAACCCAGAATGAGTGAGATGTGTCAAATTGTGCTTTAGGTTAAGGGCTTAATCTAACTATGGGTCTGAACACTTGAAGGGGAGAAGTGCATTGTAAATAGTGTTGCAATGGCCTCAGTTCTGGTAGGACTACAAGTCCCAACATGCACCGCTCCCCAGGGTGGCCCTAGTGTAAGTACATGTGACTCTTGAAACGTCTACGTTAGCAGCTTAATGGTTTCTCCAGACTCATGCTTGTTTCACAGTCCCTAAACAGGATGGTTTTTGAAAGGCTCGAACATTTGACAAGTAGTAAAGTGATATTTTCTTAGCCTAAGTTTATCTTAACACATGTTTTGAAATAATGCTGATAATAACAACATACCAGCCTTGAATTGAACGCTTGTTTTGAAAAAGAACACAAGAATTCCAGAATCATCAGTGTCACAGCTACAAACTGTGAGATTTGTTTCATTGTATTTTGACACAAGTTTTGTAATATAATTGTAATATAATTGACAAACATCTATTTATGTGTTTTCCCCTGTATACCGTAAGCCTTTTCGCGATAGAGAGGAACAGGACACAATCTGTCCCTAATGTCTAGCACCGCGCCAGTCCCACCCAGTTCAAGATGTCCAGTAAATGTTGCATAAATGTGTATAGAAACCCTCTAGATAGGCCAGGAGCGGTGGCTCGCGCCTGTAATCCCGGTACTTTGGTAGGCCGAGGCGGGCAGATCACCTGAGGTCAGGAGTTCGAGACCAGCCTGGCCAACATGGTGAAACCCCGTTTCTACTAAAAATACAAAAAAAGCCAGGCGTAGTGGTGTGCGCCTGTAATCCTACCTACTCGGGAGGCTGAGGCAGGAGAATAGCCTCCCCAGAAGGTGGAGATTTCAGTGAGCCAAGATCGTGCCATTACACTCCAGCTTGGGCAACAAGAGCAAAACTCCGTCACAAAAACAAAACAAAACAAAAACAAAAAAAACTCTTCAAATAAAATGAGTGGTTTTTAGAATTTCACTGAATTTATTTTTTATATGCTTTTGTTGCAGTATAAAGACTTGAAACTATACTTGGGTGGGACAAGCATTACTAACTTTTTTTTTTACTGCATTTTTTGTAATGTACATTTACTTTGTCTTGCAATAAAAAGCTACTTACTAGATACTTTTGTAGTTCATAGTGTGATGATTGTGTGTTCACACTTGTGTGAGATGCCTCTCCCTCAAACCTTGTTGTGCCACCCACATGTTACCCATCTGATATGGAATAGTTCATAGTGTGATGATTGTGTGTTCACACTTGTGTGAGATGTCCCTCCCTCAAACCTTGTCGTGCTACCCACACGTTACCCTTCTGATATGGAAAAGGAAAACCCAAAACTAACAACAACAAAAAAATAATTTCATTCTGTATTCCAGGCTCTTCATAAGATGAGGGACAAAAATTGTCTTTGCTTTATAAAAATAAACGATTTTTAAGGTCTAACGTATCTACTGTTTGACTTCTTTTATTATTTCAGATTTTACTTCACACGTCTTAAGTTAATTTTATATTTTAGACCCTAAATCAGGATTGTTGTATGTACTTGTGTGAGTCCCACCTAAATTCTGTGGCTGGCCCATAATTTAACATGTTTACTCATTCTATTTTGCCCGGTTGTTAGTTTTGAAGAGATTCCACGTAGTAGAATAAAAGAAACTGAGCAACAGAGTAGTTAGGGAATCTGATATCTATTCCTGATTCTCAAAGTAACTAGCTGTGTGACCATGGAAAAGTCTAATTTTTAAGACTGACTTTCCTTATCTGTAAAATTAGGAACTTTAACTTGATTATTCACAGCCTTTTGTTTAACAAACCCTTTTCTACAACTCTTTGCATCCGTTAGTGTTTATTTAAATTATTGGCCAGGTGCAGTGGCTCATACCTGTACTCCCAGCAATTTGGGAGGCCGTGGCGGAAGGTGAGCTCAGGAGTTCAAGACCAGCCTGGGCACCATTGCGAAACCTTGTCTCTATGAAAAATACAGACTGTGCAACAAAGGGAGACCCCCTCTCTAAAAAAAAAAAAACATTTTAAAAATTGAGCCACGTATGTTGGTGCATGCTTGTAGGCCAAACTACTTGGGAGGTTGATGTGGGAGGATCGCTTGAGCCCAGGAGCTTGAGGCTGCAGTGAGCTGTGATGGTGCCACTGCATTTCAGCCTGGGTGACAGAGAAACACCCTGAAAAAAAATGAAGAGGGTGATGTGGTTCATACCTATCATCCCAACACTTTGGGAGGCCAAATCGGGAGGTGAAGCCAAGAATTTGAGATCATCCTAAGAAACATTTGCCTACAGCAAACTATGAGAAACATACTGAGGCCCTGTTTCTATTTTTTTTTTAACAAAATTCCCTTTGCCTCCACACTGCAGCTCCTCATAGATCATCTCCTATTGTCATAAAACTCCCCTAATAAGGTTCTGTGGAATCCTAAAACTATTCCTGATTTATTGTGTAACCTTCACATGACTCTGATCTTATGGGAATATTAATAAGGTAGGAAGGTAAAGGAGGTGAAAGTAAATTGTAGGTGTTTACTCCTCATCCTCTCCTTCCGGTTTCCTTACTGCTGGTTTAGAAAGCAGCACTGCATGCCTGCATTCCACTTGCTCACAGTCTCCACCTTCCTTCTACCGAAGCACTACAAATCCACCTGCTAATCCAAGAAATCCAGGAGAAGGGCCTGGTGCAGTAGTTAACGCCTGCAATCCCAGCACTTTGGGAGGCTGAGGCAGGAAGATCCCTGAACCCAGGAGTTCCAGGTTACAGTGAGCTATGATCGTGCCACTGCACTCTAACCTGGGCAATAGACCCTGTCTTTAAAAAAAAAAAAAAAAAAATCCTGGAGAATTGTTGAGTCTAATTATCCCCTCAACTATAATTAAACTGTATCATTCCATCCTTTGAATGCTCACTGACAGTGTGCTTCCATGGTTTTCATTTTTTTTTTGACGGAGTCTTGCCCTGTCACCAGGCTGGAGTGCAGTGGCGCAATCTTGGCTCACTGCAACCTCCGCCTCCTGGGTTCAAGCAATTCTTCCACCTCAGTCTCCTGAGTAGCTGGGACCGCAGGCGCATGCCACCACGCCTGGCTAATTTTTTTGTATTTTTAGTGGAGACGGGATTTCACCATGTTGGCCAGGATGGTCTCGATCTCTTGACCTCGTGATAGCCCACCTCAGCCTCCCAATGTGCTAGGATTACAGGTGTGAGCCACCTTGCCCGGCCTGGTTTTCTTTTTTAGTTTCTAAAAAAAAATAAGAGAGAAAGAATGGCTCTACAAAAAAAAAAAAAAAAAAAAAAAAAAAAAAAAAAAAGAAAAAAAAAAAAAAAAAAAAAAAAAAAAAAAAAGGAAGTCTTGCTGTGTGCAGTGGCAGTTGTCCCAGTTACCCAAGAGGCTAAGGCAGGAGAATCAGTTCAATGCCCAGGAGTTCAAGTTCAGTCGAGGTAAAATAGTGAGATCACATCTCTAAAAAACAAATTAAAAATTAAAAATAGGTAGAATAAAGGAAGACTTTTCTTGTATAATTTGCATTATTACTAGCAGCAAGATCTCTTACAAAACTGAAGTTCTATGTGGTTTCTGAAACTGCAGGCCACAGATAAGTTATGTTATGTTGCCTTCAATACTCGTCTTCAAGAGGAGGGGGAATTTTATAAGAGTCAGAGGGTAATGACAGTGTAAAGAAACCCAAACAGGCCAAATGTTGAGGATTCTTGGAAAGAAAAGGAGCATATAGGAAGCTAGCTTAGATTGGGAAATAGTCATCCTCTTACCCACTCTTGATTTCCTGAAATCCTTGTCGTTACTCTCCTCCCCCACCCAAATACACCAATCTAAATCCCTATTCTTAGCCGGGCATGGTGGGATGCCCAGGCAGGCACTGTAACCCCAGCACTTTGGGAGGCCTAGGCAGGCAGATGACCCGAGGTCAAGAGTTCGAGACCAACATGGCGAAACTGCATCTCTACTAAAAAATACAAAAATTATTCAGGCGTGGTGGCAAGCACCTGTAGTCCCAGCTACTTGGGAGGCTGAGATAGGAGAATCACTTGAACCCGGGAAGCAGAGGTTGCAGTGATCCGAATCACGCCACTGCACTCCACCCTGGGCGACAGAGGGAGACCCTGACTCAAAATAATAATGATAATTTCCTATTCTCCCAGGGCCTCTGTCACCAGTGCCACATATAGGGGCTTCAGTCCCCGTTGCCAACACCCAATAAATGAGGGGAGTTAGGAATAAGGGAAATTCTTATTCTCATAACTCAGCCTAAATCAAGGGGAATATGTTGCTTGAATTTTACAAGCATTTTAAACTCATTATCTCATAAAAATAATATGAGGATCTCTGCGCAATGAAGATGTTAGTAGCTTTGGAAACTTGCCTCTACCACCAAGAGCAACCTTGCCTACAGCAAAATTCATCAGGAATACTATAGGTTAAACAGATATTTTATGGGAAGGCTGAGGCAGGAGAATTGCTTGAACTCAGGAGGCGGAGGTTGCAGTGAGCCGAGATTGCACCATTGCGCTACAGTCTGGCGCCTGGCAACAGAGCGAGACTCTGTCTCAAAAAATATATATATATATATTTTATAGCCAGGAGTAGTGTGGCACATGCCTATACTCCCAGCTACTTTAGAGGCTGAGATAGGAGGAACATTTGAGCCCAAGAGATTGAGGCTGCGGTGTGCCATGATTGGCACCACTGCACTCTAGCCTGGGTGACAAAGGAAGACCCTCTTTAAAAAAAAAAAGAATTTGTACCATA